CGCTGCTAGCTCTAGTCCACCCTTTGATCATTCCAGTGTCGTCCTGCAAATGATAATTTTTGGGGCCCACCGCTTGTTCTAAAAGGCAATTCAGTCCCCTCTTAGCGCAATTTATGATGCAAATACTTGGAGCCTTGCTGGCCCTGGCAGCTCTGGCCATTGCACACGATGGCCCTGATCGCGATCTCTTCGACTACGACCAACGTGGGCCTCTCTTGGGAACTTGGTTCGGTATACCCGGCCAAAATGCAACCTTTGACTATATTGTTATAGGTGGAGGCACTGCCGGGTTGACTATTGCCAGTCGGCTGGTCAGGAGCGGATATCTCAGTGTGGCCGTTGTTGAGGCAGGCGGTTTCTATGAAATCGACAACGGTGACCTCTCTGTAGTCCCAGAATACTCGACCTTCTTTTCCGGACCAGATATAAGCGATTTCCAGCCTTTGGTCGATTGGAATTTCATGACCCAACCCCAGGAGAGCCTAGGCAATCGCACACTTCATTATCCGCGCGGGAAAACGCTAGGAGGCACTTCAGGAAGAAATTACATGTATTATCATCGCCCTACCATAGGCAGTCTGCATAAATGGGCTGAAGAGGTCGGAGACAAGAGCTATGAGTTTCCCAGCATGCTTCCCTACTACAAGAAATCAGTGCATTTCACTCCTCCGGATGAAAAGCTTTTCATCAATTCGACGAACATACAAAACCCAGAAGCTTTCAGCTCAACCGGTGGTCCCCTAGAAGTCTCGCCTGGTAACTTCGTCGACGGCTTTGGAACTTGGTTTCGCAAAGCACTTATTGCTCTGGGTCTCAAGCAGTCTGAATTCAATAGCGGCAATCTTTCAGGCTCTGGTTACATGACCCTGACCATCAATCCTATCAATGCTCATCGATCTTCGTCAGAAACCAGCTTCTTGCAATCGACACTCAACAGTGGCCTAGGCCCTGTCGTTTATCATAAGACACTTGCGCAGAAGATTTTGTTTGATAATCATAGAGTCGCAACTGGCGTCCAGGTTGAAACGGCTGGGACCTTTGGCATCCCCCCAGTTAACTTCACCCTAAGCGCTCAGAAGGAGGTTATACTGTCGGCAGGAGCCATTCAGTCCCCTCACTTACTTATGGTGTCAGGAATTGGCCCACATGACCAACTTTTCCGGTTCAACATCAGCTGCATCAGTCATCTCCCGGGCGTCGGCCAAAACTTACAAGATCATCCCACAGCCGGAACGACGCACCGAGTGGATGTTCCAACTGTAGCCTCGTTAGCTGACGATGACACTCTAGTGGAGTCGAATGTCAAACAATACATTGTGAATGCCACTGGTCCACTGTCCATCCCTGGGCCAGGGTATTTTGGATGGGAGAAACTACCCAAGCCCTACCGCTGGCGCCTTTCGAATGAATCTATCCAAGCACTCTCGACCCTGCCAGACGACTGGCCAGAAACCGTGTATACCCCCATTGGTTATCCACAGCCAAAAAATGCGAGTGCCGGTCAAATATATGCCACCATTAGCTTCGTCAACGTTGCACCTTTCTCCCGCGGTAACATATCGCTAGCAGGTCCAAACATGACAACTCCGCCCATCATCAACCCTCAATGGCTGGCAAATACTACGGACATGGAGATAATGGTGGGCGCTTTCAACCGGAGTCGCCAGATTTGGGCGAAATTGGCCGACTTAGGCGTCGCTGATCCAGTAGAGTTCTCACCGGGAACCAATGTGACGACATATGACCAAATACTCGACTTCATCCGCAGATCATTAACAACCATCTCACATGGATCTTCAACCTGCAAGATGGGAAGGAAAGAGGACCCAATGGCAGTCGTGGATAGCTCCGCACGGGTGTATGGGGTTCAGAAACTGAGGGTTGTTGATGCGAGCAGTTTTCCGTTCCTACCTCCGGGGGCTCCTCAGTCAACAGTTTATGCTTTTGCAGAGAAGATCGCCGAGGAGATTCTGTACGGGTTGTGATTGGAAACGCATCAAAGGCGACGACTAGAGCAGATGCCGTGGTTGTCTAATATATCATCCTTAGGATACACGCTATATCAATAACAGCCTTTCATTGTTAGTGGGTATAGCTTGCTTGGATTTTCTTCCTATTAGATGGTCAGTAACAACGGCTGCTAAAGGTACACCCGGTTTGCTGGCTTCGAGGACACGGAAATACAAGGAGCAACTAAACATTCGAAACCCAATTATACAATAAAATACAATTGCACTCCTCAATGTGCATAACAGAAAAGTCCTATCTGTACATGGTATACCGCTCTACGCGGTTCCAACCAATGGATATAACACAGCATGAAACCCATACCCATCTAAACATGGGCCTCTAAAAAGGCTCGGCCCACGTCTTGCTCAAATTTTGCGAAATCCTCAAGTCCCTTTCCCTCAAATCCGAAATCTACTCCTTAAGCTCAACATTGGCTGCAGAATCAGCACTCTGCACCACAACCGCACCCTCCTGCAACAACTCCTCCGCCGTCTTAACCTTAACATCCATAACCCGCAGGATAGTATAACGATGCTTGCTCGTCACCTTCTGCACGTGACGGCGTCTCCGCTTCGTCTTCTCCGTGATGCGCAAAGGCTCCGACTCGAAACCCATCACCCGGACCCGGCACTCAAACAACCGCTCATCAAGGTACTTCTCGCCGCCCTTGAGCGAGAACTCACGAGAACCGAGCACCGACGCCCGGTTAAACCGCAGGACATCGCCCGATTTTACCTTGGGCATGAGGAAAGGCAGACGCAGCTGATCACCCTCGGTAAGCAGGTAGGGTCTGTCGTGGAGGTGGGCGGTAATGTAGTGCGGCTTTTGCGAGGTGAGGTAGGGCAGCATGTCGAGGAGGGATTGAGACACTTTCAATGGAGCGTCGAAGGTCGGGGCCACGGGCTGTTTGTTAAGAGGCACATCGGCGCGGGTTTCGGGAATGGTGTTCTGGGGCGTCAGGAAGTGAGGTTGTTCGATGGGAATGGAGGTTTGGGCCCGGGGAGTGGCACTGAGGGGAGCGGAGGGGTGTGATGATGTTGTTGTAGAGTAAGATGTGGTGGTGGCTTGGTGAAGGCAGGCACGGAAGGTGGTGTTGCTGGCGCCGGCGAGGATGGAGGATCGGGCGGCGGTGTGCTCGATGGGCAGGGCAAGTGCCCGTGCCAGTGTGGTTCGAGAGAACATGGTTGTGTGTAGTAGAGACTAGGAGAGGGAGGGAATTGAGGCGATTGTTGACCTTGACCGTGCCGTGCCTGGACTCCGAAGCATCTCGCAGGATGAAATTCCGGACGGAGAGAGATAAAGTGCTCCACGTGACTTATCGGAGTGCCAAGACCCAGTCCCGTTGCCGCCGCATCGAACTTTTTTGTCTTGTCAAGACACTTCGGGCTCCGCCGTTGTTTGATATCAACTTGTTTTTGACTCGCTTTCTCGCGGTTGATTCATCATGGTATGATTGAGATGTTCCCTGAAACGTATAGCATCTGGTTTTGCTAACTGATTGTTCCGTGTGCAGCCTCAGAACGAGTTCGTCTCACTTCCCCCACCCATGCCACCAAAGCTGGGCCCCGACCCGAGCTGTTTTTCCACCGCCGGGGAATCATTATATCGAAGCAACGAACAAAGCATACTGATGAGAGGAATAGGTATATCGAACGCTGGCAGAAGCAGCACGGTAAGCGGCTCGATCACGATGAGCGTGTCCGCAAGCGCCAGGCTCGTGAATCGCACAAGCAGTCCAAGGATGCGCAGAACCTGCGCGGCCTGAGGGCCAAGCTGTACCAGCAGCAGCGCCATAAGGAGAAGATCCAGATGCGCAAGCGCATCAAGGAGCAGGAAGAGAAGAACGTCAAGTCTTCCGCTCCCGATGAGCCGTCTAAGACTCCTCTGCCCCAGTATCTGCTTGATCGGTCGCAGGCCACCAACGCCAAGGCCCTGTCCAGCGCCATCAAGGACAAGCGGAATGAGAAGGCTGCTAAGTTCGCTGTGCCTCTTCCTAAGGTCAAGGGTATCAGTGAGGAGGAGATGTTCAAGGTCGTCAACACCGGAAAGAAGACCCACAAGAAGTCCTGGAAGCGCATGATCACCAAGCCTACTTTCGTCGGTAGTGACTTCACCAGACGGCCTGTTAAGTACGAACGGTTCATTCGTCCTATGGGTCTGCGTTACAAGAAGGCCAATGTTACGCAGTATGTTTATCCCCTTTCCTTTTCATTCTGTTTGTTATGGGAGTCGTTCAACTGACGTAATGGCTTTTTTTCCCTTTCCAGCCCCGAATTGGGTGTCACCGTCCAGCTTCCCATCCTTTCCGTCAAGAAGAACCCCCAGAACCCTCTGTATACCCAACTGGGTGTCTTGACCAAGGGTACCATCGTTGAAGTGAACGTTTCCGAACTGGGTCTCGTCACCACCAGCGGCAAGGTCGTCTGGGGTAAATGGGCGCAGATCACCAACAACCCTGACATGGATGGCACTGTCAAGTGAGTTTTCTCCTCACATCTTGCCTTATAACTATGATACTAACACTATATCACTACAGCGCTGTTCTCCTCGTCTAAACACCTCTTCTCATCCATGATTATGAATCCCGCTCTATTCCTTCATATCATCATACCATATCCCTCCCTATCTCAAAATATGCCCTGGTTGCGTTGGTTTGTGTTCGTCTTCACATAGACTATATCAGTGGGTGTGGCGTTAGCGGCGCGCAAAGTATCCGTCTTGTTTCCCGATTTTCATATTCATTTGCCGAAAAGGATCCCTATTTGTCTACTTTCTGATGTGACTTGAAATTGCTCGCTGAGGCGAGTGAGCGTACCAATTAAGTATCCCAAATAAATGAAGCTTGATTTGGTCTGAGTGGTAAACATGTCCCCATACTAGAAGTAAATAGCAACTACGTAGGATTTATCTCGAGACGACCATCTACAGCAAGTCCGGAATTGCGCAAAGTGATATATGTAAATTAGTATATTCCAATTATACTCTTAGACCAAACTCCAAATACCCATGCTGTTTCTGGATCCCACAGCTTCCAATGCAATCAATAAACAACACGTAATCGGTCAATGACTCAATCAATCAATCACCCAGGCTGAAGCGCGACTCAAGACAAAAATAAAGACAACACCATGTTTCCAGCGGGTGTGTTCCATAAACCAAAATAGTTGTGGTGGAAGAAGAGGAAAAGGATGTATAGATCCAAGATGGAACAAGAAGTGAAGAAACAGGTATCTGTCGTACGGAACAAAAGAAAAAGGCGAGGATATAACGGTGGTGACTTGGGAACGCCGGGTTCATCGGAGAGGTATGGTATCAGGACGTGGAAGGCACACAGGAACATAGGAAAGGTTGGTTGGTTCAGTCGACAGTGTAGGTTGGTGATGGTTAACTTAGCTGCCTTCTTCTAGTGCAGCTTTGATCTTGGCGAAGAATCCAGCGGGCCATGCGGCTAGTTCTTCGTCCTTGGGGATGCCGCGGACGCGGCAGTGGTTGACCACGTTCACGAGGATCCGGTTCAGCATGTCCTGTGTGACTGGGACGGCGCCTTCGAGCTGCGCGTCTGGGTAGAGGAATGGATCGCGCTGGCCGAGAAGCTCTTCCACGGTTGGACGCAAGGTTTGATCGCGCTGAAGACAGCGCTTCAACGTTCGGACCAGTCCAGGGGGTACCGGGACGCCTCCTACGCCGAATGCCGGGAAGTCGATCTTCACGTGGGGATTGGGGATGGCGAGGATGCGTTCATAGTATTTGGCGATTTTAGCAAACGGAGGCTGGCCGTACACCATCTTGTAGAGAATGCATCCCAGACTCCATACGTCACTCGGTTTTCCGAGCTTCATCATCTTCCCCACACTTGCTGGTAGGCCAAGTGAGGCATTGGAGTCGACCAAGGCTTCCGGTGACATGTAGTTCGGGGTTCCCACTTGCTGTTCACGATGCACGTTCACAGTGTTATCTTGAATGGCGTTCGCGATGCCAAAATCGATTAGCTTCAGTCGGCCCTGAACCAGGAGGAAGTTCGCCGGTTTCAGATCAGAGTGGACAATGTTGTGATCGTGGACAGCTTGAACACACTCAAGCATCTCCTTCCAGTAGTATCGGGTAAAGTTGATGTCGAATCTGGCGTCCTCCGCGTTCAGGCGGTAGGTAAGGATCTTCTCTAGATCTGACTCTCCAATTTCCATCAAAACACTCAAAGTATGCTTGTCTGAATTCAACTCCCAATCGAATAAACGAACAACACGATCAAGATTCTCCAACTTCTTGAGCAAGTCAATTTCACCCTTGTATCCAGCCAAGGTAGTTGGATCGACGTCCTCCAGATTCACTCTCTTCAAAGCAAAAATCTTATAGTTCTCAGCCATGACGCGGTAGACTCTCGAACTTCCACCACGACCGATGCAGTCCAGCCGGGTGAAGGGCTTGTGGTTGACTGAAACTTGACTGCGCTTTTTCCGTGATTGTGATGCCGTGGCAGCTCCTCCTGTCGCAGTGGCGGTCTCAAGAACGGACATCTTAGGAGGAGGAGGGGCCGGTCTGTGAGGTGTGTTATTACTTCTAGTTGCAAGGATCTTTCTAGGGGAGTTCCCGTTCCCTGCAGGTGTCTCCCCATGCTCTTTCTTCTCGTCACCATACACCACAGCAAGCTTCTCAGGCTTGTCCAGCAAGTTGAAACCTTGAGGCTTGGCGCGCTTGAATGTCGGTGGAGGCTCATTCTCCTGGTCTCTAGAAGAAGGCAATGTCGGCGGAAGAGGGACTTTGAACACAGGCTGTTCTTGCGAACTGGAGGGTTTGGAGGACATCTCCGAAGAAGACCCGGGTGTCGATTTCGAGTGCGATCCATAGGATTTCGGTGAGGACGATCTAGAAAAAGGTCCATCTGCACGATCATAGGATCGGTGCTCATCGGTTCTGAGAGGTGGGCTTGGGTCGGCCCATGATACCTTGGGTGATGAAGATTTCGCTGTGTTCTTATAGTGGTAGTCGGCGTTGTCGATATTCGCGTCAAGGTCTCGGTCTTCATTATTTTCTTCACTCTGGCGTCGTAATACACCGCGTCTTGCGGGGCCGTTCAGAAACGTTCCAGTGAGTCGTCCGACTCGCTTGACGCGCAATGAGCTCGCCATGCCGATATCCTCCGGGTTTCGCGTTCGTAATACCGATGAAGGACCGGTGCGAGGAGCGTAGTCATCCTCATACCTATACTTCCTTTCATCTTCTGAACGTTCCGCACTTCCGTGGTCGTCGACATAGCTCCTTTCGGCGGAGCGTCTCTGAGAGGGGGATACGGATGCGGGAGAGCGTGTATGGCTACGCGATGCATTGATTCGCACGCTGCGTGGCCTAGGAGCGGGCGTAATGAAATCATTCGAATTGGTTCTTGCATCCTGGTCGGCACTTTCGCTGTTGGAGAGGAGTGATCCCTCCCTTCTCGATCTGCCGCCACTGCCGCTTAATGATGGTGCAAGGCGAACCACGCGAGGCGCAGGACTTCCGGTCGAGTGGTCTTGAGGAGGAGTCGCTCGAGATCGTCTTTCCTGGCTGGAGGCAGCAGAGGATCCCATGCGCTCGCCGCGAAGGCGCGGGGACACATCGAGTCCATCTTCGTCAAGCAGGGCCTTGACGGAAGCGCTGAATTTCGGTTCGGGGACTTCGTCGTCAGAACTGTCTCCCGGAGAATACTGCCTAGCCACGGAGGAATTGGTTCGAAAGGCGGGTGAGTTCTGGAATTCTGGGGATGTCCGCCTGGACCCGGAGCGGGAGAGCGCGGCGCGGGACATCTCACGGGTACGAGGATTGTCGAAGTTAGCCGGTAGGTGTGCTGTCGATGGTGAAGGGGGGCGAGGGCTTCATGCAAGAGCTCGGAGAGACCGCATTGACGTGTCAGCCCGGAGAACCAGCCCAGTTGGCCCCAATGGTACCTGCTTCAAAGGGTTAGTAGTCGACGTTTGGCGTGTTGTGGTTAATCTAGAGTCAATCGAAACATCCAACTTCGAATTGCCGGTGGCTGGGCGCGGGTCACGTGACTGGGTTGTTGTTCTGGTTGCCCCGGGCAATCACTGCCCTCCATCAACAATGATCATTAGACTCCCCACTCGATGATGTCGAGGTAACTGTCTAGGACTTGGTCCAGAGTAGTACAACCTCCTCCTTGCTTGCACTGATAATGTCCACTTCTCTTGGGAAATTATTTTGCTTGTATCCTGGCTGACTCTGCATCTCACTGCAGGCAGCCGTGCTCTCGCTTCGACGCGACGTTGACCCCCGGGGATTTTTAGCGCAAATCAGCTACTACGGTTAATGCTTCTGCTCCAATGGTAGCCCTTTATCTCCGTGCACTGATGTGCCATGGTACTTTCTGGATACTAGTAGTTGGCGTAAGCATTGGCTTTTAGTAATTATTAATTAAGGAATCATTCTTATTCTACTTTATTTTACTACTACTTGGTACTATAGTTGTCTACTACTGTTGCAGTGAAGCTCGGATAGAGCACAGATATATATATATATAGTATGTATTAGTATATATCCGAATGGAACTAACATCACCTGTCAACTCCCCTTTCCAGAAGTGTAGCAATATCATCATCATAGAAAAAACCGAACTACCGCTAACCATCTGAAGCGTATACCATTGAGTTATCAGTACTTAGTACTACTACTAATAGTTTTAACTAGCGATACTTAGCACACCAATACAATTGAAGCCAATCACCGGTAGCGTGGTAGTAGTAGACATCTGGCAGCAGTACTACTAGCAGTAGTGTACAATAATCAAACGGCAACACGACTGTAAACGAAATACAACACACAGACTAACTACGATCGATGGCTATACAGTAAATATACTTAACCCCCAGTGAGTTCCCCAAGCGGAAATGACGAGATAGGATGGAATAGCATGACCTGGTACAACACATGGAATGGGCTTGACTTTATGACTGATGTACATATCTACCGTGAATTTTGTGCAGCAGACAATGAATGAATTGACTATAGAGAGGCCCCGGTACTTTTTGCTGGTAATTGCCTCCCACCTTTTGAACAGTGGACTACTCCAGCTATCACACTTCACATGAACTAGGATTTCTAGTAGCTAGCTGCCTCATTCGTAAGCTCTGTGGGTTGAGGGCTTGATGTAGGTTTGCTGAAATGGGGCGTTTTCGTGAACAGGGAAAACCTTTCTAGTCCCCTGTTCCATACTCCGAGGGGAATTATGAGCAGCAAATTGGTACGTCGAAGGCATGAATCAATTGCCATTAGATGTGACAATTGTTGTTAGTGCCAGTATCTGCTGCGTTGACTTCTTGATAACACACATCTCCCAATCAATACGGTATATGCTTTCCAATCGACTTGTAAGTGCCCTGGTGTGCCTGAAAACTGAAAATCCGAAAAGTGGCTCAATGATGGGGTCCGACCCCCCAGTCCAGTCTCTGAGCCAAAAAGAGTTTGTATCTGTATCATGAGGGATTTTCTTGCTGATACGAGGAACCTACCAGCGCAATTGTGTTTGGATGGGCATGCTAAACTGCAAATCATGACTCGTAAGTTCAGTGGCGTAATCCCAGTCTCAGATATTACAGATTGTTGAACTGGCGGAGAATAGGAGGAGTTCTATGATATGGATCAACTCTGGCAAAAATAGAACGTGGAATAAGCTCGCTGGGGCAAAGATCCCAGTTACAGGGAACTAGTCCAACCTTGAAACATGGAGCATGAACGATATTCCCGACTGTCAAAAGGGCTTTTGGCCTCAGGTTTGACGTGACCTGCCACAAGCACCTGACATCACCTGATGGTCTGCAGCTTCCTAAAGAGGCATGCGCGGCCGAGTGTGTCTCCCGTCAGTATTATCGTCATCGTCGTTATCGTCGTCGTCGTCTTCCATGTTTTCCTTGTCGTCGTACTTACTCCCTAGGGAGACCGAGGGTTTCAGGAGAAGAGTTCTTCCATGGAAGTGGCCGAAGTTCGCCCCTTCCCCCCTGCAGTGACTGATCGGATTGCCTCCGTTTCCTTCCCCTCAGAGTGACTTGGCAGCTGCTCCCCGGTCAATGCTCCGGTTGCAGCATATTCCAATTGCTATTCGCTCATTTTTAGGTGCAGGGTGTGTAGTACCTGGCTATTTGCGGCGGTCAATCAATATTAATCAAATCAGGTAATCTTCCGAGTTTAGTCGACTCAAAACCCGGTCAACTTTAACTGGAAGTCCTAACTGGGTCAGTTTTTAGAGTTTCCACAGGAACGAACAAAGATCGAACCCATCTGCAAGTGATGATGAAACCACGAAGCCATCATGCAGATGCCACTGTTCCAGAGTCAAACAAACCTGTGCCCACAACTACCCACAGTCCATTGCCTTGATTTCATCGTCTAGAGGGGAAGCCGTCGGCCACCACGACTGACCTTACTACTAGTGTTCGGTTAAAGCGGGCAGCCGGCAGCTCAGGCCATTGAGAATTTGAGGAGACAGAGGGGGGTGGAGCCTCAGGAACCAAAGGTACGAGGCCTTCGGGTCAGGAACGCCTGTTCGGGCAACGATTGCCCTCCGAAGGCCTTCTTGCCATTACCTTTGCCAGTGTCGACTAGCCAGGGCTTAATATTGGTATTGGAGAGCAGTCTAGACTGCTGCACGATAAAGTCAACCGACATCTTAGGGCGGACTGTGTTGTGCAGCTTGTCGTTTGCTTGGATGTTCCCTTGGCTTCTCTACCTCTCAGGCTGAGGGCGCTTTACCGCAAGTATCCTTGCCTGCCGCACTAAGGCAGTAGTACCTACTGCATCCGCAGCTTCCTGTCCCTGACTAAAAAGCGATGCTAATGCACTAATTTAGCGTGCAAAGGCTGCATCCACCAGGCCACATTCGGTTGTGCACAGCACAGAATGGAGGTGCTCCTGTGCCTCTGCTTATTGTTGTCCCCTGCACACTTCAGTCCACGAGTAGTCTCCTGGAACTCTTTTAGGTTAGTGAACCCCAGATGGCTTGTTTGAAGTGAGAGTTTTTCTGCCTCCTTGGGGGAAATTAATATTCTAAATTTGGAGTGGGTAGAGCATGACACCGTCCAGCACTCTCACAGATTTTTCAATCAATCTTTTGATTATACTACCAGTCCCTCAAGACTGTAGTGCGCAGATAAGATCTGTGCTCCTCTCAATTATTGATTGCACTATCTACTTCTTACTGTGGAATGGATTTCTTGTCCGGGGGAGAGTGGGCGGCCCCCCTCTCTCTATTAGTATTCAGAGTTCACTTGTCTCTCGCATTTGTCATTGCTTTTTCCTTTGTCTTTGAAGCCTAACGTTCCGGAACTGGATTTATGCACCGCCCCGGAAATTAGTTGATCAGTCAACAACGCACATATGTCACAAAAATTTTAACGCCTTTTTTTGTTGCTTTTCCTAGTTTTTCTTCCTTTGCCTTCCCCTCCTCAGCCCACTATACCTGTCTTTTCTCCCTCCTAACCACACCTGGATAGCGTCGGTTAGGCTCCGTACTCCGTATTTGACTATTTTTTCTCTTAGTTGTTTTATCACATTCTGAAAGGGGATCTAAGCAACTCTAAAGTTCCATCTTGACTTCATCCGTCGAAGAAGGTGGAACCGGGCTCACAATTCAGGGAGAAAACACCGGCCGTGTTGATCGCCCATGGGTCGGCCTCGACGGCTGGCCGGCACACTGGGATTATCCTCTTGTTTACCTGATGAGGGTCTGCGCAGTCTGACTGTCATTGGCCCGCCATCCGATCACCACAGCCAACATCCCCCCCTCAACTCGCTCTTCTGGTTGGCATTCCGTCGCTGAACCACCCCACGGGTGACCCGACGATGATGTTGATGATAATGATGTTGCTCGTACCGTGCTGCCGATGCCCATTGTACTGTACCTTCCCGCAGCAGTGTTGCCCACCTACACGCTCACACCGAGGCATCAGTGGGTTTTTTGCTTGCTTTTTTCTCCCGTCGTGGATGCTAGCATTAGTCTCTTCAAGTCGGAAGCATGGATGAATGATACTAGTGTACTTGCTCACCTACTCCCTGACAACGGAGCCTCTCACCAGTGCTGAATTGAGAGCCCCAATTGGTGGCGGGCCTGGTCAGTGGCTCACAGCCTAGGCTCTTCCCCCTGCTTACAGCGCCTTTGCTTGACAAAATATTACTACTATGGACGGAAAAGGTCAGAGGTGACCCGCAAAAAGCTCGGAACTAATACCTTCTCTGTCCAGGATACCCCGTTCCCCGAAATAGTATTCTCGTTCCGCTTAGTTTGTTTTGGATGAGCCCACCTACAACGGTAGTCCGCTCTGGTTTGCTTCCTAGTTTCCACTGGCACCCGGCGCACCCACTTGGCTAGCTTAGCCTTGAAGATCCGGGTCCCACGATCACAGAGGACCCAACATGCTCTCAGCCGGGTGTGCAGCTCCATTCATGGGTTCCAGACTTGGGGGAGGGCTCCATCGCCCGATCCCGCTGGCACGGGAGGAAATCCCTCTCAGGGGTATATATACCTCCAGGATGATCACCTCGTTCCATGAACATCAAGCCCTTCGTCAGTCACTTTGTTTTGTCTTGTGTTTTTGGGTTCTGTCTTTCCTTACCCGACCCTCATTTTCATCAGTCTGTCGTTAACCAATTAGGCTGCCTCGAGCCAGCCGTTCTTCCATTTTCATACTCTTTTGGATTCTTTTAACAGGATCATTTCACACACTCGCTGACGTCTTACCCACTCTTTATTATACATTCTTTGCCCTATCGGCACAATGCGTTCCGACAAGCTTCTCGTGCTCGCCGGTCTGGCGAGCTATGCTCTCGCTCTCCCCACGAAGGACTTGGACCCCCGTACCTTCGGCCTCGTCACCGAGATTCTCACTGACCTTGGTGAGGACCTGACCGGTTTCATCGAGGCCCTCCTTGGTGGCGGTGTCAAGAGCTCCGCAAGCCTCCTCACTGGTATCAGCGCTCAGGCAGCTGCTGTCCTTGAAGGTGGTGCTCTGGGTTGCACTGCCGGCAAGATCGATGCCTCTGCTCGTGCGGAGCTGGCTGCGTGGATCCGTGCTCATGCCAGCTTCGATGCCTCCCTCAAGTCGTCTCTGTTGGCCTGGTGTGAGGGTGAGGACTCTGCCACCCTGTCCGTCGATGTCCGTGCTGGTCTCGCTCTGTTCATCCCCACCTGCGCCGAGGTCGCTGCCAAGGGCGACATTTACGTGACTGTCGACGGTATCTTCTCTGTTTCCGACCTCGAGGCCGCTGTTGTCCTCAGCTCTTCTTTCCAGTCTACTCTGTCTACTTTCATCTCCGGATCCGTTGGTGTTGAATTGGATGCCGACATCAAGGCTGGTCTTTCCCTCTGTGCTGGTGGTGGTGTCGTCGCCGACCTTGCTGCGGATGTCGAGGCCGCCCTGAAGGTCTGGCTTAACGGCTCCGAGTGCTCTCTGAGCGCCTCCCTCAAGGCTGCTGTCCTTGCTTGGTTGGAAGGCAAGGCTAGCGTGTCTGGCGTTGTTACCATTGGCACTGTGCCCACTGCTGGTCTCACCACCGTCTCCGTCGGTGCCGCCATCAACGCCCTTGTCGAAACCTCTGGTGCCCTCACCGCTAGCGCCCAGGCCTACCTCTCTGCCTTCCTCAAGTCCTCCCTCGCCACCGACATTGAGGCCGATGTTAAGGTCGTTCTGGAGGCCTGTATCTCGGGCAAGCTTGCCACTTCCGTCAGCGCCGATGCCCGTGCTGCCCTGGCAGTCTGGCTCTCCGGCGATAGCTGCCAGCTGGGCGTCGAGCTGAAGGCCGTTCTCTACTTCTGGCTTTCCTTTGCCCTGAGCGGCGACGTCACCGTTGACTTGTCCACCGACATCATTACCGAACTTGAGACTTTCATTACCGGTACCATCGACACTCTCATCGGTGTCAACATTAGCGGCGTGCTCTCCCTGCTGCTGTCTGGCGAGAGCCTGGCCTCCCTCTCCCTGGAGTCTCGTGCTGAGCTGTCTGCTGTCATCGGTGGCTGCGCTGGTGTTGATATCAGCTCTTCTATTGAGATCATTGTCATTGAATGGCTTACCGGCTGCAGCATCCCCGGCGGTCCTTCTATCGGCTCTGGCTCTGGCTCCGGCTCCGGATCTTCCTCCAAGCTCATCCCCAGCGCCTCGAGCGTTCCCGCCGCCGCTTCGACCCCCGCTGCCAGCGTTCCTGCTGTTCCCACCGTCTCCGTCCCCACTGGCGGTTCCAGCCCCAGCAAGCCTGCTCAGTCCGGTGCCCCCGGATCTCCCAGCGGTGTCAGTCCTTCCGGTATTCCTTCGGTTCCCTCCCCTGCTCAGTCTGGTGCTCCTGGTGCTCCCTCTGGCGGTGTCCCCGCTCCCAGCGGTGGCGTCGTTCCCTCGTCTCCTGCCCAGTCTGGTGCTCCTGGTGCCCCTAGCGGCGGTGTTGTCCCCACTACTTCTGTTCCGGAAGGCGCCAGTGCCGGTGCCTCCACTACTCCCTGCGACACTATCACCGGCGAGACTGTTGTTCCCGTTGCTACTATGACCGAGGGCGGTTCTGCTCCTAGTGCTCCCGCCCAGTCTGGTGCCCCTAGCGGTACCCCCATCGTCGGTGGTGGTGCTGGCGGTTCTACTGGCGGCTCTGGCTCTGGCTCTGGCTCTGGCTCTGGCTCTGGCTCTGGCTCTGGCTCTGGCTCTGGCTCTGGCTCTGGCTCTGGCTCTGGCTCTGG